GAATAATGACTTTATTTGGAAAGCCGGCAGACCCAGAAGATGAAGGACTGATGTCCTGGAGAACCATCTTCCCCAAGTCAGAATTCAGGCTTTCATACTAAAAAGGGGAGGGAGTATGGTTGGTTGTTGCAGACTTCTTGGTGTTGGAATCCTTTGTTCTTGCAGCTGACCCTGTGGGTCAGGTCATGATGTTCCTGTCAACCTCCAAGAAGACACAGGTTATTCTCTGTTCTGCAACTTTTTAGCTCTGTGTGAACGGAAAAGTTCAAAGGTCAGAGCCTTGAGAATGGGCTCTCCTGTAGATTTCAGGCTCGAGGCAACATTCTTTTACAAAAGGTGCAGAGCCAGCGTGACTCAGCACAGGGAGCAGAGCACGGGGTTAGAGCTGAAGGAACACATCCAATATGGAGTCGGATTTGTCCTTCCCTGTCACAGGAGTGGAACCCCGCAGACCTTTCTGCAAGCTCTTCCTGCACAGCTGAGGAGAAGCTTGGTGAGCAGCGCCCTCTCCGTGGAAGCAGGTAGCTCTTGGGTCCTGAGAGGAACGAGGCCTGTTCGATCCTCTCACCCGCCGAGAGAAGGGCCCTCGGGGCCCGGGCTGGAGTCTGGCTCCTCGCTCGCTGTCTGTGAGGCTTGGGCTCGAAACCTAGCCTCTCCTCTGCCTCAGTTTGCTTGTTTGTAATGTGAGCCCGAGGGTGACAGTATTTAGTTCAGAGCGTCAAGAGCCCTGAAGACTGAATCCCTGTGAGGCGCTCAGAACGCGAACCCAGCGAAGTTGTTACTGTTAATTATTACCGTTGTGAGAAGGAGCCTTCTGGGGGTGTTCTCAGTCCTTGGCCCTTGGCTCCGGGAACACAGAGACCTTGCGGCCCCCTCCTTCTCTCCTGCCCTGTGGGATGGGGATGTGAGAACACTGAGTCCATTGTGTTACCCAAGGCCATGTGCAGCTGGCCTCATCCCTTTCCCAAGATGCAGGCTGTGTTCCAAAAGGGGACAGAGAGCTGCACAGCCCTGGGGCCAAGGAACCAAGCCATGGAGGAGCCCGTGGGA